CTTTATTTAATTTTATATTGTCATTCTTTTTTCTTCTCTTGAATATATCTTAAATCGTTGTATTTTTAATCCAATTCATTTGAAAAACAAATTTCATAGGCAACAAGTTGTGTCCTTATAAAAAATACATTCCAAATTTCTTTTTTCTTATATCATGGTTTATTTCTTTAATCTATATTTGGGCTACTTTATTTCTTTATAAAGCATAAAAAATTGCATTTCTGAATTATTATCTATATCCCGACATAGAGTATTTAAAACGATCACACTTATCAAAGATTTTCACCTTCAAGGAAATTTTTTGAAGAAAAAATAAAAATCGATTCTTAAAAATCATTATCGTTTCTTTAAACTTTAAAAAATAATCAAATTTGTAAAAAGAGCATAGTAAAGAAACCTTTGAGATTAGGCCTTTGCCAGAGCACAACAATTTACATAAGTTTATATATACACATTCATATACAAGTTTAAAACTTCACATATATAACTGAAAATGATACGAAAACTGGTGTGCAGATCAGTGAATGCAAATATATATCGGACTACCAAAAATCAATGTAGTTTGGCATACATACATAAAAATCTACTTATATTGTGGAAATTAGAACTGAGAGAAAAAGAGCAAAAGAGAGAAAGAGAGAGAACAATAAAAGAAGGAAACGAAAATTATAAAAAAAAAATTAAATTAATATCATTTCGCTTATATATACATATATATGAACTAATGCATCACCTCGAACGCACTGACATCAACAGATATATACGAAAATATAAAAATAAGAACGCGTAATCTATAAACACACACACATGCACACACATACATACATACATATCGATATATATATATATATATATATTTATATATATATATGCATACAGAAACACATACACGCATGCACATAGACACACATATATACACGGACATATATATATATATATATATATATATATATATATATATATATATATATATATATGTATATGTATATGTATATATATATATATATGAATAAAGAGAGTTAAAGAACGTTTCTTTACCAACTTGATCCCTGATCTGATGGACTTTATCAAGAGGACGAAACACGTTGGTAAAGAAATGTTTTCCTTTTGTCGTTATTTATATTGTCTTTTTACAGATATATTTAGCTTATATCTGAATGTTTTTTCACACATACATGAATGTATTTGTATATGCACAAGCGATAACATATCAATGATTAAGAAATTAACCTGCAGCTGGAAAATGTCATTTTATAAAGAATCATGGAACTGAAACACCAAATTTTGTAAAAGTTTGTAGATAAACACTGCCAAAATTCACATTGTTTTATGTTTAGAATGGCAATTAAAATGAAATTTTCTTGTTAAACTTGGAAATCTGTGTCTTTTCTTTTACAGAATTGTTGAATCTATTATTAATGTTACTAACAATATCTTTTTGACAGGTTAATTCCTGAGTGCATATATATATATGTGCATGCATATATATATATATATATATATATATATATATATATATATATATAATGAGAGAGAGAAATAAACAGGCAAAGATTTTCATTTTGTATACACATATATTATTATGTGCGTGAATAAAAAAAAAATATATTTGTGATAAGTGCGTCAAAGTTTTTAACTTATATTTCTTAATATATTAAGCGTACATAATTAAATAAACATGTCAATTGAAATTATCTTAAGCATTTCACCTATAATTATCCTAAACATCTCAATTTTAATTTTCCTAAACACTTCTTGTTTAATTCTCCTAAACATGTCACATGTAATTCTCCTCAGTTTCTGAAATTTTATATATATATATATATATATATACGTATATATGTATATATATATATATATATATATATATATATATATATATATATATGAATGGAATGTATGTATATATGTATGTATGTGTGTACGTTATATATATACAGAACATATATACAAAAGCGCATCTATCTATCTATCTATCTATCTATCTATCTATCTATCTATATATATATATATATATATATATATATATATATATACATGCACTTCTGAATATATTTTGTACGTTATACATATGTATATATATATACATATATTTATATATTTATACTTATATATATATTTCTATATATATATATATATATATATATATTGAATGTTACTACTGTAGTGTGCTTATATATGTTGTATATATACATATATATGTGTATGTGTGTATCATTAAAATTGTGTATACTTATTCCTACATTTATATGTGACATTGTATTTACATAAAATTGTTAATATCACTAACTTGCATTCGTCTGTACTTAAATATAAGAAATATGTGCCTCTTTAAGTAAGCGCCTACTTGCCTGTGTTAAACATGGTAATTATTCAAAGGAAATTGCTAATTTATTAAAGATATATTCACCGAACGAGCATTAATCCACATAAAATACACATAAAGAAATATATATTTACATTTATATTAGTATAAGTGTGCGCATAATATATATATATA